AGAAGAATTACAGGAAGAGCAAGAGAAGAAGAAGAAAGAAAGAAAGAAGAATGGTTAGAGAAGAGAAAAAAAAAGAGGGTCGACGACGCCTGAGCGTAAAAAAAAGACTCTCCGTGTCGGCGTCGCGCGCGAATTATATAGCTATATTGTATTACGTATGTCGATATACGGTCGCATATATCGATGGAAAAACGAAAGTAAAAAAAACGAAACGAAACGAAAATAAGTAAAAAAGAAAAAAAAGAACAAAAAAAAAGAAAGGGTGGTGAGAAAAAAATGTGAAAAAGGAAGAAGAGTAACTGGATAAGAAAAAAAAGATGTTAAAATATGCCGGAAAGGGAGACCGGGCGTCCCCTCCCTCCCTCCCCCCAGTTTAAAGTAATAATAACAAAGAAAAAGTACACGTACATACTCACTTCACAATAACACACATACAGAGTACGTCGACGCGTAACCCGACGTTTTTTCAAGGCGACGCGTTCGCGTCGAAACGTTTCCATTATTTGAAAGTACCTTGCGCGAGTCGTCTCGAATCGTTTAAGTACAAAAGGAGGAAGAAGATGACAAAAGGAGAAAAAGAGAAAAAAAAGAAAGAAAGAAAGGAAAGAAAAAAAAGAAAAGAAAGAAAGAAAGAAGAAATGCTCTCTCTCGATGGACGGAGAAATAATGCGTCGATCCACGTTCCACGCCGGTTTCAGATAAAACCAGGGTATATTATATCTCGAGTATTGTGTCTGTACTACTCTAGTTCGCGGATTCGGTGGAAGAAATCTGGTTTCCTTTAACCTTCTTTGTCTCTTTTTTTTTCCTTTTTTTTTTCTTTGCGTTTGAGGCCATCAGCGACGAGCACCATTTCGCGTGGGTTGTTATTACGAACCGGGGGGGAAGGATTGGATGGATTAAGCGCGGTGGCATTGAAATGGTAAATTTTAGGGAAATCGCGTGTCCTCCACGCCCTTATGTATCTCTCGTTGAACCACCACGAAACAACACACCGACAGGCATTAATGAGTTCCTGGAATCAGATTGGTTGTAAAAAGAATTTATATTTAAACGTGATCAGTGTCGCGCATCGCCTGTTCGGTTGTAGAAAGGTTGTAAAAGCGCGCCCGGGTAAACCCCCCCTCCCCCACGCCCCCTCGTGTTCACATTTGTAAACGCTTATATATTTTGAAACGAACGGGGAAAAAAGAACTTGATTCGCGACGTAACTGAAACGATATACATATTCTGCGTAGCATCTTCGAGGATAAGTTTTTACGCGAACGCTGAAAACACAAATACTAACAATATATACGCTTTGTTGCGATGATTTTGTCGGATTTTATTATTCGTATAATATTAGGGTGTAACAATTTTTTACCGCTGTTTTGGAGGTAAACACCGTTCGCGAGACACACGCGACACAAGCGAAAAGGAGATCCAGAAGATAGCGGGGTTGAATAATTACGTTTCTCCGCTCGAAGCTCAAATCTTTTTTTTCTTTTCGTCGTTTTGTCACCGATGGAATCTGATTGTTGCTCTTTTTTACGTGTTCGATCGATTCGAAGAGGATTCCAACAAGTGTTCTTTGAACAACGTTGCAACATGTTAAATTCTAACGCACAGAACGTAAAACAACATTTCCCCCACCCCGCCACCCAACCTAACCTAACCTTTTCGCGAGCGCGTCGCGAACGTCGAGCGAAGTGTGTAACTTGAAAACGGAAAACTGCCACTTTTTTAATTATCAAACCGTCGTCGATATCCTCGGCAAAAGAAAGAAAGAAAGAAAGAAAGAAAGAAAGAAGAAAGAAACGACGAGATTGACAATTATCGTAGTCGTAACTTATTCGTTGTCCTACCCTGCAAAAAACGAATGTGAAAAGAGAGAAGGAGAAGAAGGGTATACAGTATGGAGGAATGTGAGTTCGCAGCGAAAGCGGATGTCCGGTTCGATCGCATTCTTTGAATTTTCGCGAGTCTTTCGGTATCTGATCATATAGAAATTAACTCTCCAATTCGTTCCACGTTCCATCGAAGTTGAAACATCGTCTCTCGAAGGCGAACGCGCTACATTCACGAGCAGTACGTCTTGCAAAGCACATAATATCCACGACCCGGTCAATTGATTTCGTATACATTCGCTGTTCGAAAAAGAAAAATAAGATTCAGCTATCCGTGAATTTCACATTTTTTCAAAACACTCGCGAAATATACTTCCTTTTTTTTTTTCTTCTACGCAGATGTAAACGTTTCTTCTTTAGATATACACCTATTCGAAAATGTTTTATACAGGAAGTTTTAGCTAAAAACTTTTGTAATTAAACATTGAAACATATACATATATGTATATGAACATGTTTTACGGGGAAAAATAAGAAAAACAGAATAAATATTCGTAAAAGAAAATTCATTCACAGAGAATATAAATGTATTCGAAGATGTTAGGTATTGTTAAGGCAAGCTCTCCGAACTGACTGAAATATAATTGAGACTGAATTTATCAATTTGTCGCTACATCTCGGAAAACTTTTTCATTTCGTTCTATCTCTAATACGCTCTATCGACAATATCTTTTCATTCTTCTTTACTTGTTAATAACATATCAACGATACACTTTTACACCGTAGAAAAGTTTCAAATAATTTCCTTTTTACAACGGTAACGATTAAAAATTGTAATTTTTCTATAGTGAAAGTTAAAATAATTTAAAAATTGTATTTAAGCGTAAATGAATAATTTGCAAAGAATGATTGTCGACCTTAGACCCGGATATCGTGTGCTTTATGAGATCGAATGTACATAGCGTATACATAATAGGAAAAAAAAAAGAAAAGAAACCGCGGCGGCGGCGTGTAGTATACGAATTCTCACGATTCGCGATGCCGAGAAGGAAGATGATTATGTTTCGAGGCGCGTGGCCGTATCAACACGGGCACGCGACCATGCCACTTGTTTCAATCGATTCGATCCGATTAATTAAGCCTCCATTCCATTCGCCTAAGGCTTTTAGCCGTGTATTATGCCTCACAGACAACGAATCTCTCGACTTGCCAAGCGACTCGCGGCTGACAATAGTTTTCTGCAACAAAGAGAAGAGAAAAAAGTAACCCCTTCGATGCAATTGTTTTTAAGTGCAAAACTGTCGGTCACGTAGGAGACAGGACTTATAAATCGACGAGAAATTCACGCTCGAAATAATAAATCGTTTCCCTGTTTAATTTAATTGTAAGGTCTGTTCGAATGATGTTGTTCAAAGGTATTTATCGACTCGAGAAAAAGTAGTCGAGGTTGAAAAATTATTGTACACTGAGAATATGAAGTATTTTTACGGTGCAAAATTTCGCAAACAGTTTGTCGTTCGAACGTTTGCAAAATGAAAACTCAGTTCCTCTGTGACGCGTTGAAGAAGAAGATAACGCGTGAAAATTCGGAGCCTAAATCGTTGTACGATTGTTTATATAGAACGAGTTTATATTATATAGAACAGTGCGAGGTAAGCGAAAGAAGAAAGCAAAAAAAAGGAAAATGAGAGAGAGAGAAAGAGAAGAAAAAAAAACCTGTTGAGTGTGCTTGTAAGTGTGCTGTATGATAATTTTCGACGTTTACGAATATTCGTTTTTTGCGATCACGTTGAATAAGTCCTTGTCTTACACGTTCACATTGCATTGCACTTGTTGGACCGTCAAAGAAATACACACGTACGTATTTCTTCTCCAAACGGCACTTTCTGAACGAAAAAATGCAACGACAAAACAGGCCTATTTTGACAAGTGTTTAGAATTAAGTTCGAAGAGTTAGCGCGTTAAAACCGGTGCCATTTTTTTCCGTGCCATCGCTTTACTTCTTCGCCGGCAGCTAAACGAGAAACGAACGGAAAATTCATTTTGTCATTCGGGTTCCAATTTCAAGCGTACGGATTCCATTCGCGAATCTAGCTGTATTGACGAATTTTTTTTTTTTTTTTTTTACCAGAAAATTAGACGAATTCGCGAGAAAAAAGAAAACCAAAGAAACGAGAATAAAAAGCGATGTCTAATATTTAGGAAGCGTGTGCAAATCTGAAGGAATCGCAAAAATAAAGAAAAAGAACGCGAGATAAACGAGACAAAAAGAGAATCGTTTTAGGCAAGACGTGTCGGCGTAAGGTGCATAGACTACTCGTGAAAGTAGAGCCAATGGAGAAGAAACTAATCGGGCGGAAAGCAATGCTGCTTCAGTCATCCGCGTAAAAGCATGCTCACGGTTCTAAGATTTGGAGGATGAGAAAAGAAACGCGAGACGAAGCACGTGAAACGATGGGAGGAAAAAGCCATATTAAAAGGCCTAGATTGTCGCACTTGTTTGACAAAAATTCCCTGCAAGAATGCACACAAGAAATAGCGTACACTCGCTGTACACTCGTTTGTTGACGCGAATAAATACGCGAATTAAAGAAGAAAAGTCGATTTGATTTGTATATGTACACGGTGAGCCCGAGGTTCGTGCGAGGACAGGTGCGTTTACGTAGAAACGAGAGAAAGATTGGTCGAGATGGATGCTCGTTTCTCTACTTGATTTTATCGGTAGGCATGAATCAATCGATAGCTGATCCACTTTTTTCTCGTAAGCGCTAATGTCCTCTGCGGCGATCATTGTTATTATACGAACGAACTCAAGACGGCATGGTATACAAGACTAAGAACAAGACCTAAAATGGGGACATAATATTTTATAACTCAACTTTTGTACAGAATAAATAAATACTTGTACTGTGGACCAATATTTCTTTTATTTCATTCGCACTTCAACGACTTTATTTCACGGTGAACAAGTTCGCCATGGATTCAGGAAGCATCATAAGGAATGTATTCGTGAGAATAACATTAGAATTAATAACTATAAAATAGTAAACAATGCTCTCTTTAATATATAGTTAAATTTGTTTGGATTAAGTATATAAAAAATTATATCATCTGTTTGTAACGACCTAAGTTCGATGTACAACTAAGTCGTGCATTTTGTTTCTGTTATACAAATTATTTATTTTGTCTTTGAATTAACGGTATTATGACAATACTATTTTTCGCTTCTGGTATACGCCACCATCTTCCAAGCCTGTGTTCTTGGCCAACTCCAGCTACAAGATGTGTTCCATCTGATGTGAAACACAATGCATTTATAAATCCTATTAATTGAATTTCAAATAATGGATTCAACGATCTGAAGGAATCGCCACATTGCCATAATCTGATAACGCCATTTCGTGATCCTGTAATTGATAATTATAGCAAACATATAGAAATTATATTTTCTTGAATATACAAGAGAACAATTATATACGTTTAATTAAAGGAAGACGTATATATTTATTACCTGATGCAACTAGATCTGTATTGAGTAAAGTAGCTATGCTCGAAATCCACATTGGTTGATTATTAGCTTCGTCTTTTCCATGTGCGACTGGTACTGCGCACAAAGGCTTTTTCTTTAAACAACCCCATACACATAATTGTCCATCATCTCCACAAGTAAAGAAATTTTCTTCATTTATAAGTTTCACAGTATCTATACTGCTGCCATGTCCATTAAATATAAGTTGCGATTCTTCTACGATTTTCCAAATTCGAACTGTACCATCGAAACCGCCACTAGTGATAGCCCGTTCTCGTGCAAGTGCATCAATCGACGTAATACCACTTTGATGTCCGAATCTAAGAAAATAATAAAATGATGTTAGCTCTAAAACAAAGTTAAATAACGTTAATATAATACTGTAAAAACAATACGTACAAAGATTCAACATATGCCATGTCGTCTAAATTCCATACTTTTACACACCTATCCTCGGAAGCAGAATATAGTGTATGTGTGTCTTTACGGAAAACTAAACCGGTAACACTACCCCTGTGGCCTCGTAAATTCTTTATGTGATTTAAGGAATCTCCACAAAATACCTTAACCTCCTTACAACCTCTATCTCCTATTACCTGCAACCATAAAAATTAATATTTACATACAATGTAAATATAAATGTACTCTAAATGAAAATTTATGCAGCCTTACCAAAAATTTACCATCAGTGCTAATTGCCAAACATTGTACATATTTCAGTCCATCCTGTGTTTTTCTTTTCCCTTTAATGACTTTCAATTTACTTCTTTCTGGTAAGGACCCTGATGCATAATGTACATTATTATGATGGTTCAATTGTAATTCTAAAATTTGACTAGAAATAACATACATTTAACTAAACTACCATCCTTTGAGCCAGAATACAAAAACTTCCCATTGCTAGAGAGACATAAACAAGTAACTGAACTTTTATGTTCTTTACATCTCAAAACAATTGGTTCATCATGATTGATATAATTTGATGCTACAGTTTTTCGTAACCTTCCTTTTTCTTCCAAATATTCTTCGTGTAGCCTTTTTGTTACTGCCCCCTCTTCAAATTCTGCTCTATTTTTTTCTATATTTTATAAAACTAATATTAGAATATAAAGACTGCAACATACAAAAAATACTTTGTTTCACTTATACCTTCTTCTTCAATTTGCTGAAGATATTTCTTAGCAAGCCTTACACGCTTCTCCTGGGCAGTCTCTTCTATTTCTTCCTCACTTGCATATCCTTCATGTCTAAAATGAAATTTAATATCAATTAAAATATTATTAAAAATCCTTATATTTAGGTTTAACAATGAATAATTACATCTGATTTGTCTCTGCAAATTCTTCATCTGTACTAGCAATACTCTCATTGTCATCCGCTGTAGATTTACGTATAACTTTTTTCTTTCCTTTCGTTTTCCCCTGACTGGTGAACTAAAAAATTATAACATAAATTTACACATCATATAAATATGTTCAACTTCATCTTGCTATAATACATATATTAGAAACCATGCATATGAAGCTATACATAAATGTTTTATACTTTTCTTTTAACTCCTGCGGCGCCTTTCTTATTTCTAATAAAAAATGACATTTTCAAAATACTTTTTAAATGTATTTTAACCTCAACGTAAGTTTTAAAGTATCCACATGGTATGTATTTTATATAAACAAGCGTTGCCGACAGATACAGTCAAAAAAGTCCTATATCAAGTAGAGATTGTAAAATAACTAGAAATTTTTTCCACAATATAAAGTTGGTAGACATGGTCAAAATATAGTTTCGCCGTTAATCATTAGAAATTAATAACTGTTTTTTTTTTAATTGCCTCTAAAAATCATTCTGTGACGTCTCTAAGCACCCTGAGCTTCTTCTCAGGCAGACACTTGCGAGAACTTCTCAAATTCCCCATATTGAGTGGTTCGGATGGTAGCCGGTGGTCACCATATTTGGCGACAGTGGTGGGATATAGAAACAATGACTAAATTACAAGAAGTTGTTGCAATTGAGTAATTGTTTCTATATAAGGAAGATCGCAAACATGAAATAAACATATTGGAACAATATACTAATAACTATTACATAAGTGTTCCCCGGAACAGTGTAACGGCGTTTAGGATCGAGAAGTTACACTAAACCGAGGTAAGGGAAGCTGTGATCACGTTCTCGAGAACAATATTTATGAGCGTCACTTGAGTAGGGATACTGTGAAAGAGAGCGAGATAGAACATCAGTCAGGTTTTCTTTGGCCAACGAGGATCAGGCGTTTATCGATACGGATGAGTCATCGTACAATGAAAATAAAAAATTTACCATTTTTTATAATAAATTAATGAACATATTACAAATGAACAGGTGATGTTTCTTCAATGAACATGAATCTAATCACGATCTCAATCTGTTCATTTGTTAAAATTTTGCATAAGCTGGATTCGATAAAAGGAATGTCTTTCACAATGCCTAAAGTGGAAAATATTTATTATATTACTTTGAATTTTCGTATTTATTTGTTAAAAATTTTTTAACAACAATTTATCGCTTGTAGCTGGTATAATTACCTTGCAGCTGTTAAAGATTAAAAGTAGACATTTGCGCGTGTATTGCAAGATAAAATATAAGTACTGAAATTAGTTTACATTGCGTCTATGGGACAGACCAGAGACTGATATTTATAATTTGTCTGACGTCCCTACAATTGCAATCATAAACCGTTCTAACAACCATTCGAACATTGTAAAACGAAGCGTATCACGTTACACGCGGTTCCCGTTAATCCTGAAAAATCCAAGAAAACAACTCCATCATTTTGCAAATGTAAGTTACGCCAAGGTGAAGAATGTCTTCTGATTTGTAGACCATGTCACTGCACAGCTTTGCAAAATTTGTGCATGTACAGAAACAAGAAACTACGATGAGAGATTTTAAAACGGTGTGAGTATATTCGATCAAGTTCTATTTTGCGTATTGTATTCTGGCGTGCTGTAGGTTCTTTTACATTATTATTATTGTTGTACAATGTCGAACAAACAGAAGAAACCAAATACTGTATTAACTTTGCAACAACGGTTGGATATCTTAGAAAAATTAAGAAAAGGTATTTCAATGAGTATACTCAGTAAGGAGTACGGAGTTCATGTGCAAACCATTCGCCGCATCAAAGCGAAAGAAACTGAAATAGAACAACGAATGATAACATTCAATACCGGAAATCGAAAAACCATACGAAGACCCGTTCTGGAAGAATTAGATACTCGTTTATATACGTGGTTTTCGGAAAGACGTGTATTAGGTGACCGTATTACTGATGCACTGTTACAATCGAAAGCAAGTGAATTGTGCAGTGAATATAGTGGCGTAACAACATTTACTGCCAGTAAGGGATGGATATGGCGGTTTAAAAAGCGGTATAATATCCGTTTAGCGAACATTCAAGGCGACAGTGCTGACCCCGACGGACAATCAGCAGAAACATTTATTCAACGGTTTATGCAGCGCGTGGAAGAAGAGGATATAAATCTAGACCACATTTATAACATGAATGAAACAGGATTGTTGTGGAAGGCTATTCCACAGAAAATATTAATTGGCCCTACTGAGCAAAAAGTATTTAATATTAAAATAAAAAAAGATCGAGTAAACATTGGATTATGTGTCAATGCAACAGGAACACATAAATTACTTCCGTTATTTGTTCATGAATATGAAAGGCCCAAAGCTTTGAAACACGTTAAAATTCACGAGTTGCCTGTTGTATACAAGTATCAAAAAAATGCTTGGATAGATTCTGTTGTATTTGCGAATTGGTTAGAAAATCACTTCAAACACGAAGTGAAAAAACATCAAATAGAAAGCGAGACCTGCGGAAAAATTCTACTATTAATAGACAACTGTAAATCACATTATGTACAAACAACAATTACGAAATTAAAGGACGACAACATCGAAGTTATATTCTTACCAAAAATCTGTACTTCAATTTTGCAACCCATGGATCAGGGAATAATTGCGAAGCTAAAAGGATGTTTTCGGTATCAGCTGTTAAAAAAAATTCTAGACTTCCCTCATGGAATAATGGAATTCTATTTAGATTACGACATTGTAGATTGCATAAACATATTGCAGGACGCGTGGACGGTCGTATCATCTGAAAACATACGCAACTCATGGAAGAAACTTTTACAAGAAAAGGTAATGGTAGAAGATGTACATGACGGAGATGCACAAGATTATACTTCCGAAGTATCGAATATTGCAGAAACTGTACAAAGAATATCTCAACAGCCAACAGCTGAAACTGAGATTGCAGAATGGTTATCTACTTGCGAAGAGGCAGAAAACCAAATGCAGAATAACGAAGATGTAAAACCAGAGAGCAACACGAACTGCAATCTAGTGCCGACTGAAGAAGAAATAGACAACTCATTTGCAAATTTATGTCATGTGTGCAAATGCAAGTTGCTGCATTGAATAGCTATTTCAAGCAAGAGTGTCTGTATAAAATCAACAAACCGCCTTAGGTAATGAACTACATCTTTTTTTTTATATATATATATATATATATATATATATATATATATATATATATATATATATATATATATATATATATATATATATATATATATATATATATATATATATATATATATATATATATATATATATATATATATATATATATATATATATATATATATATATATATATATATATATATATATATATATATATATATATATATATATATATATATATATATATATATATATATATATATAGCGTTTATTTAGATTCTTACTTTGTTCCGTTCTAATAAAAAATAATAATAATTTACATGTAGCAGCTCACAATATTTTCATATGTTCTACTTATGTCTGTTTCAGGTCTTCTGTCATTGAGGATACATTTAGGTTACATGTATATACTTAAATATAACTAATGTTTTTTATTCTCTGTATTTATTTAAACTGTACATAAATTATATTGCACATACAAAATATATTAGATTATAAATATATTACACTGTAAATTTATTATGTAACAAGCATATTAGATAGGATAACCCACTCTAGTCCCTGTACTTATCTTTCTCATTGTCAATAGCCAGCAGCCAGTTGCACAACTGCAGGAACTTCATCTGGTGAAGCGAGATGGTGATATGGACGTTACATTGATCCGGGGCGAAAGGCGTTACACTGATACGAGGAACATGGTATAGAGAAATGAGAACATGAACGAGTACTTGCGAGAGAATTGGAGATTTGAAAGATTTCGATAAGACATCTGGTGGTCACCGTCCGAATCAATCAGATTAGGAATTTCAGAGATTGACAAGTGCCTGTCTGAGAAGCCAAAGGCGCTTAGTGATATCACAATTGCAAATTATTATTAATATTTCAGTTTATTTTTTAATATACAATAAAAAAATCATGGATCAAAAGAAACGGGTGCTTGTGATTTGTCTAGGTACACTTTAAAATAATATAATAAACAATCAATTTAAAGAATAATGTACAGTAATAATCTACAGAATGGCTTTTGCTTTACAGGAAATATTTGTCGTTCTCCTATAGCAGAAGCAGTTTTCAGTGATCAAATAAACAAGTTAGGCATAAATGACAAATGGGAAGTAGAAAGTGCAGCTCTCATAGGATATCATACAGGTAAAAACCCAGATCATAGAGCTATGTCTACATTAAGAGAAAAAGGTATTACTAACTATTCTCACAAAGCACGACCAGTAAGTAATTATTATTATATAGAAAATGTTTTATACAAATCTTAATATACTTTTATATTTTATTACAGATCACTACAGATGATTTTACCAAATTTGATTGGATATTTGGGATGGATAATAGTAACATTAAAGAATTAAATAATATGAAACCTAAAAATTGTACTGCAAAAATTGAACTTCTTGGAAAATATGACCCACAAGCAGAAACCATAATAAGGGACCCTTACTATGTACATATTTATTTAACATAACATTTTATTTCAAACCCCAAAACATAATGTATTTATTGTAGTAGTTTGAAATATATTATATGCTACAGGATAAAGGTTAAATTTATAGAAATTTTATTTACAGGATAGCGACAGTGCAGGATTTCATAAGGCATATGAACAATGTCTACGGAGTGTAAAAGCCTTTCTAGAACAGCATAAAGGTAAACAAATATTTTATTAAATTTTTTCTCTACTTCCAGAAGATATCAATAATCTTCTCTACTTCCAGATCATCAGTTATGACCAGAATGAATCATAGGAATACTATGATTAAAGTTATTGAAATATTGTATATTTTAAAATTTAACACATAATAAATATTCATTGGAATATTAAAATATTGGTTTATTATTACTTATCATGTACAGGCATTTTTTCTAACTCTTCAATTATTATTCATTATTACATAGTAATTAAAGTGCAATTTTGTTTTGTCTGTATAATATATTAATCTAATATACATACTATATTCAAAAATTTTATATCTATTCCATTGATACTTGTGCAACTGCTTATACAAGTAATAGTTATTTAGTCACGAATCAGTCCCCACAATTTTTTTGGCATTTCCGATCATCTGACAAAAAAATATTGTGAATAAAACTTAGTACTCAATGGGCAAGAAATTTCAGATTTAAAAATAGCGAAAAACATTTCTCTTCCATAAAAAATGAAGGTTACCATAATTTTTTTAAATGGAATTGTATTTTTAATTTCACAGTATTACAGATTATACCAAGACAAATTCAACGACTTAGTACCGCTATGACCTTGTAGTGACCTTGAATTCAGAAACCGTCATAAATCGATTGCCACGATATTATGGGGGCAGAAAATTATGAGGGCAAAAAACTGATTCGTGACACATTCTGTATATATATATATTTGTGTTTTTAATTTTTTATTTTACAAGATTTCTTACATAACCTTAAAAAATGAATATGTGAGGATCCTTCTAATGGGTAAAAAGTAATTATACATTACTCAAAAGAAGTACTTAACAGCATGTCATCAAAAAAGAAAGTGTTAATGGTATGTTTAGGTATGTCAAAGGTATTAGTTAATTTCTAAAAGTAATAAGTATATGCACATTAGTTTTCATTTTATTAGTTTTAAACTTTTAGGAAATAGTTGTCGTTCTCCAATAGCAGAAGCAGTATTTTATGATCAAATAAAAAAATTACATCTATGTGATTTTTGGGAAGTAGATAGTGCTGCACTTTTACAGTATCATGTAGGTAATGCTCCAGAACCTAGGGCTATAGCTACACTCCAAAGAAGAGGCATCACACACTATAAACATATAGCAAGACAGGTACATTTATTTTTCTACTTTAAAAACAAAGTAATATATTTCCTCATAATTTCAGATTACAAAAGAAGACTTCTACAAATTTAATTGGATACTTGGAATGGATAGTGGAATAGTTTATGATCTGTACCAGATGCAACCAGAAGATAGTCAAGCAAACATTGAACTACTTGGAAAATATGATCCAAATGCAGAACTAAATATACGGGACCCATTATTTGCAAGTATTACTAGCGTTTATTTATTACTAATTAATGTTTTCTTTTATTTGTATTGTATTTGTTTATTTTTTTAATTCTAGGATGATAATAGTGCTGGATTTGAAAAAGCATTTGAACAAGCTACAAGAAGCATAGAAGCATTTCTGAAACAACATAAAGGTACTTCTATATATCAATCTTCAAGTTAGTTATTCAAGTAATATATAATTCATAATTTATTTCAATTTACATTTATCACAAAATAAGTTTTCTTTATAGGTTCTTAAACTATACAATCAGAATAACTATAATATTAGTATATAACTAAAAAGGTTGTTGGTATAAACATAAAATATGTAATTACTAATATTCAACTAATAAAAAAAATTAGTTTTACTTAACTTTATGCCCATTTACATACATCTGAACTATATTACGATCATCTCCGGAGTATATGAATTTTTGAAGTCGTTCTTCTAAAGTATTGTTTTGCAAGTCATTTAAAAGTCCATCACTTACACTTGTATCCACAACAAGAGCATCAAATTCTTTACCAATTTCAAAATTTCCTATTTGATTGTCCATTGCAAGTGCTAAAAAAATATCATATTAACTAAAAATTCACTAAATAATTATAATACAGAGTCTTGTCTCAACTTTGAGAATCTTACCTGCTGCACCTCCTAAAGTAGCCAGATAAAATACATCTTTATAATTAAGTGCTTTGTAATTATCTTTAATTATGGACAAATGGCTTGATACTTCTAAAGCTGATCTCATTGTGTCTAAAATACTGCAACTTTGTCCTCCTGAAACATCTGCAAACAAAAGAGTATTATTATAAATACTACATGTTATATATTTGTACCAGTTAAGTTAGTGTAGAAACAATATATTTATACCAGTGCCAAGACCAATCTTCACCCCTTTATTTTTCAATTTTTGAACATCGCAGAGACCGCTTTTTAAACATGTATTTGATGAAGGACAATGTATAACTGATGCACCTCGTTCTTTTATCAATGCAATCTCATTATCTGTGAGATATATTCCATGAGCTAGCACTGTCTGGAAATAGACAAGAGTTTTCAAAGTTTTTATGCTTTGTATATATTTATTTAACATACCTTATTTGTAATAAGTCCAGCTTCATCATATACAGCTGCATATGAGGAATGTTCAGGAAATTTTTCTTTTACAGCTTTTATTTCATCTGTATTTTCAGATATATGAGTCTGAAATATTTTGTATATAAGTTGAAATAATGAATACACAGAATACTCACAAAAAGGGAAAATACATTTAAACATGTTTCAATTAATAAGTGATAATTACTCATCAAAATTCGTTTATTTACATGTGGTATTAACCAAATGGAAACATTTTATGTAGTACCTGTATGTGAAGATTTTTTTCTTTTGCTAGTTTTCCTAATTCTCTCATCAGTATCATGGAGCAACTTAAAGCAAACCTTGGTGTTATAATTGGTTTTATGAGGGGGCTCTATAATGATCATTATGCATATAAAAAAAACTCTCAACTTTATATGTAAAAAAAATAGAATACAAATTTAAATGATACTCAGGTTTTACATTTAAGAAAAAAAAATTTTTCTAAAAATTTCTTTATATTTTTTATAGATTTCTCTGTGGATTCATAATAATTATCATCACGTATAGTATCCATACTTAGTTTACCAATGAGAGCACGTTGACCTTTAGCCACTACTACCTGTCCAAGTTTTACAGATGCTTCTGAATAGAGAGATGCAAAATAACATGCTGTTGTTGTACCTTGCATTAAAG